AGCAGTCAGATCAGATCACAAGTTAACCCTCTCAACAAGTAACAGGGGATGCCAAGCCCAAATAAAAATGCTATTAAAGTGTCACCGTTAATTGCCTGTCCCTGCTGGTGACAGTATCCAGAGAGCAACCAGGGAGGCTGTACAGGCAGTAAATGTGTGTGAAGAGGAATTTGGGTTACATCCATCCAGGCTGGTATACATCACATAGGTCCTGACAGAGACACTAATTTTTAGACTCACTCTGTAGCTATTTCAGGGACCAGCTAATCTGGAAACCCACAAAAAGGGCAAAATTTCATACCATTTTCCAAATTAATGTGAAAGGCATGATTGAGTATGTTTCTCTTGAAGAGCTATGCGGGAGACACTGGGGTGCAGAAGTGCAGAGGAGGCTGACATATCTAGATGGGTTGGCAAGAGATGGTATAGAAACCCAAAAAGCATCCTGGGGAAAAAAAAAGTAAAAAAAAAAAAAAAAAAAAAAGAAACCAGAAGTGTTCAAATGAGGAAAGCAATTGGTTAGAAACAACACCAAATGTGGCAGCGCCCCATGAGAAGTTCAAAGATGCTTTACAAATTAATAACATTGCTTTTGCAAACACATCAGGAGCTTGAAGGCTGCCAGAACGCCTGCAGGGCCGGTGCTAGGGGTTCCCAGGGCAGATGAAGCCAGAACTGGAGGCAAGGAGGGGCTTTTTAGCATCTGTGTTCACTGTGGAGGAATTTAGGGACGCTCTCATGGCCGAACCAGTTTTTCCTGGTGGATCCAGAGGATGACAAGACGAAGTGAAGGAGCAAAATGAATAGTAACAAATTGCAAGGACAGAGAGCAAATGGGTATGAACAGTAACAAAGAGTAGACTTAGCTGAGTGATGCTGAGTGAGCGTCTGACAACAAAAATAAACGAAATGCAATGTAGGTAATGTCGAAACATATTCATGGGGGAAAAGAAAAACAGTCCTATCTTTTCGTGTGAAATGAGATGCTCTGAGCTGGCATCAGCCAGCTATTATCATTATATACAGTCAGTTGTCAATTAGTCAATCAATCGGCTCAATCTAGTAGCATGAAGATAGAGAGGTTGCACCATATCATTCTATGAAAACATTGGTTCAACACTTAGCTGCAACAAAAAAAAGTAGGTGAAGTGGTAGAAATTGTTAGAAAAGGGCTAGAGACCATGATTACATTGCCATAAGTACGAGGTATGCCCACTTCTGGGATGCAGTGTGCAGTTACTCCCCATCTCCAAAAAAGTGTCTAATAGGAAATGTATAGTAAGAGGCAACAAGGAAAATCCAAAAACTCAAGTAGCTTCATATGACAAGCAACTGTATTTTCCAGAACTTCAGGTTGGAGAAGAGAGAGGAGAATGACAGAGGGAAACAGAAGAAAGGAAATCTTGGGATTTTCCTCTTTTCATCACCACCACAGGTCTCTGTTGTGCTATTTCAGTCACTGGTTAAACTTTTGCAAGGTTTGTGTGTCTCACCAGAGCTGAAGTGGATACTTCGGAAGCTGATCTGTACCCAGAAAGTACCTTCTCTCCTTAGACTTTACAATATGATTTTCTGAAAATTTGATTTTTTGAAAGTGGATGCTTATAGAGCAAAGTGCATCAAATAAACTGTATTATTTTCTCTTAAATCCCAAAAGTAAAACTGATTTAACCTGGGTAGCTACCTGGGTAGCTCAGGAAGAATCATATAGTAAAGGAGGATTTATGGAGAGCAGACAATGTTAGCAGCTTTCTTTGCTTCTTAAAACCAAAACCATTGAGAACGACTTCTATAAGTTTGAACAATAATTTAGGGAAATAGTCATGTTATTCTGTTTGGGTTTTAGCAGAAGGGGTTTTTGGAACAGAAGAGCACATCAGCGTTTCAGAGCTGTATCAGTAAAGTCCATTTCTAATACACAAAATTTCTCACCAAGCTAGGTAATCTCTCATTAATGAGGCAAAGGAGCCCAAATTCATTTCTAAAAGTAGGAGAAAAATCATAAAGGGAAAACTGTGGAGAGCAGATATAACTGACAAGGTATGTCATTCTTTCTTATAATAAATCCAAGTAATTGCAAGGAAATTTCATTTTCCTCCCCATTTAACCCCAATTATTTTCATTTAATCACAGAAACATTGCTGTTTCACTCCAAACCAGACTGCTTTGCATGTGAAACATCGTTTTCAACATGTACTTGGGTTTAGGCATGTTCCTAATCCCCTAAAACAAACACAGCGAGCAGGACAGCACGTCCCAGCATATGTGGCACTGCTGGGAGGGCTCATTGGCTCTGGTTGCATCGGTTGTGAGGGAAACCAGGCCAAGTCATCCCAACAGGAATTTCCCAGGTAGCATTGGAGCTAATACCTGGGGTGGCAGGCACAACACAGATGTAGTGGGGCAGGAGTGATGCTGTCTTTCCAAGGAATCATCTTTTGATGGGTCAAGATTTGGTACAGATGACACCAAGTTGGGTGGGAGTGTTGATCTGCTTGGATCAAGGGTAGGAAGGCTCTGCAGAGGGACCTGGACAGGCTGGATCGATGGGCCGAGGCCAACTGTATGAGATTCAACAAGGCCAAGTGCCGGGTCCTGCACTTGGGTCACAACAACCCCATGCAGCGCTACAGGCTTGGGGAAGAGTGGCTGGAAAGCTGCCTGGCGGAAAAGGACCTGGGGGTGCTGGTCGACAGCCGGCTGAACATGAGCCGGCAGTGTGCCCAGGCGGCCAAGAAGGCCAATGGCATCCTGGCCTGTATCAGAAATAGTGTGGCCAGCAGGAGCAGGGAAGTGATCGTGCCCCTCTACTCGGCACTGGTGAGGCCGCACCTCGAATACTGTGTTCAGTTTTGGGCCCCTCACTACAAGAAGGACGTCGAGGTGCTGGAGCGTGTCCAGAGAAGGGCAACGAGGCTGGGGAAGGGTCTGGAGAACAAGTCTTATGAGGAGCGGCTGAGGGAGCTGGGGTTGTTTAGCCTGGAGAAAAGGAGGCTGAGGGGAGACCTCATCGCTCTCTACAACTACCTGAAAGGAGGTTGTAGCGAGGTGGGTGTCGGTCTCTTCTCCCAAGTAACTGGCGATAGGATGAGAGGAAATGGCCTCAAGCTGTGCCAGGGGAGGTTTAGATTGGATGTGAGGAAAAATTTCTTTACTGAAAGAGTGGTTAAAGATTGGACCAGGCTGCCCAGGGCAGTGGTTGAGTCACCATCCCTGGAGGTATTTAAAAGATGTGTAGATGAGGTGCTTAGGGACATGGTTTAGTGGTGGACTTGGCAGTGTTAGGTTTACAGTTGGGCTCAATGATCTTAAAGGTCTTTTCCAACCTAAATGATTCTATGATTCTATGACTTGGTTGGTTTTCCATTAGATGGGTTTGGTGGCATCGCACCATTCCTGAGGTGCCTGATGGTTTCTTCTGATGACAGTGTCTTAGCAATTGCTTGCTGTTGTGGTTAATGTTAATTGTCCACAATGGCAACTCCCCTTCTGGTTGTTTGCCTCATGAATATTTTTTTTTACTGAAGTTTTTCACAAACAAGGAGCCATTTCTCAGAACAAGGTGGGAGGAGGGGGCAGGAATAATTGTTTTGCAACAATAAAATATAATCAGTGAAGTGACATTTTCTTTGGCAGACTCCCGCTTTGGAATTATGACAAAGTTTGGCAGAAGTCCCTTCACATCCTTATACCTCCCTGCCC